GGAGCCTCTCCTGACCCGCTGGCGGCTCCCGGCCCCCATGGGCCCTTGCAAGGGGCTCCAGGCACTGGCACATAGCACGGCCGTCATCCTGGGTCACACCTTCCGACAGTAGCGGTGGGCTGGATGGCTGCAGGATGGATCCAGGCCCTGCGTTACCAGCAGGAGAAGTAACGTTTTGGTGCTGCAGTACGGTCTGGGCCTCTGCACGCTGCCGGTAGTCCTGGTCTGGAGCAGCAGATCCACTCTGCACCGAGACCCGGCCTTGCGGATCTGTGTCCTCTAGTGCATCGGCATCGAGAACTTCCTGGCAGTGGCCAAGTCTGTTCTGTGCCTGGCGGTGCCGGGGCAGGGGCTGGCAGGGGGCACCAAGAAAGAAATCGCAGTGCCTGCCCTTCCGGCCGGGAGGAGTTCCCACCCAAACTCTGCCCTAACAGCTCCGGCGCTGGGCTTTCCTGCTCCAGACCTGGGGTTCTTGTATTTCTAGGAAACGGTTTCCTAGTGCTAATAAAACATCTCTTCACTAATATCTTGCTGCTAATGCGTCATGAGGGTGAGTAGAGCCCTGGCCCCACTGGTCCCTCCTGCGTGGTGCACCCTGCGGGGGCAAGGGCCGCTCTCCTCCGGGCTGAGGGTTGGCATTGCTCATTCCGGGAGCCCTTTTGTCCCCACTTTGGCTGTTGGCATCAGAACAGGCTGCAGGTCACGGCTCTGCAGGTACAAGCCCTTCCTCCTGGAGGTAGTGGAAGCGTCCTCACCTCACCAAGGAGCACAATCAGGCCTTGGCACGGCAAGGAGGTGTTGGCGGTGGCTGAACCTGGTGAGCTTTGGAGAGGGGTCAGTTCCTCCTGGCTGTGTGACAGACACAAGGCTGCAGTGGTTTGGGGCTTGCCAGATCCAGCCACTGAGGCCAAGCACGTTCCCAGGTGGCGCACGGCATGCAGACAGTGTTGGTGACAGGCACGGGGTGTGCGGGGCAGTGCCTCTGCTGGCGCCCATGTAAAGACCCTGCGTTCGCCCGGACTTGACGGGCACACGCTGCCGCCTCCGGCTCCTTTCTCACCGGTGAGGACTGACATGTGCCGGTGGAGCATGGGTGCTGGGTGTCTGCACCAGTGCCCAGCCCGGAAGGTGCCCCAGACCCTGCTCTGCTCCAGGCTCCAGCCCCCAGACCCACGCGCCTGCTTGCAGGCTGCTTGGGCGGGAAGCCGGCCACACCACCACCTCCCTGAGGGACAGTCACTCGTGCTGGATGGTCGCAGAGGGCTCAAGGGGAGTGTTTGCCTGGAAATACTTGAATTTAAAGGTCCTTGAAGCTGTAGGTCCTGCCAGCTTCCTGCAACTCCTGTCCCTGCCTGTAGAGAGCAGATCCACAGCACAGCTTGCTTGGAGCTTTCCCACGTGCTCTGCCTGGCAGCACAGCCGATCTCGGGGATTGCCACAGTGGGTGGTACAGGGCTGCAGTTCTGCAGCAGAAAAAGGGTCACCCTGGACTCCAGAGAAGGGGGTTTCCGTCCCTTCACCCCTTCTCTGAGCACCTGTGGCAGGGCTGTAGCCAACCTTGGCACCCAGGGAGTGGTACAGCCCTTCTGGGGCTCAGCTAAGCCTTGTCCCTGGTACAAGGTTCCGGAACACTTGGGTGTTGGTTTTGTCTCTCCCTGCCAAGGTCCCAGCCTGCCCCTCGTCCCTGTCCAGGAGGCAGGGAGAGCAGAGCCCCCGTCACCCCTTCTCTCAGTCTCTCAGGTAACAGTCTCAGTCCTGCTGCTCTCCACCTCCGGAGACATTTTCCGGGCCCTCGGTGTTCCCAGCCCCTTCTCCAAGCCCCTGCCTCAGTGGCACCCGAGGTGAGCAGCAGTGCTCTGCACGGTGCCGTTGCTGCAGGGACTGCACCCCCCAGCAGCAAATTGGCACCAGGCAGCCCTTTCCTGAGACCCCCAACACCCTGGTCTCTGCACCCCCCGTGAGCAGAGCTCTCCAGGGCACTGCCTGCAGGGACGTCGGCCCAAAGGGACGTCCGCCTCCGCTGCCCTCTTCCACACTGGCGCTGGGAGGTGGCCACTGGCGCCCCGCTGTTGGTGCCCTGCCTGCCTTCCGCCATGGGACG